TAGTTTCTAACAGGCTTTTAAAACATCTTACCTTATATGACACCCAGACAAAATATATATCCAGTAACATTTTTTATTATATCATGATGGAACTTCTATCTTGCAACTTACTGCAGCAATTTGAAGAGAAAGCTGAGGAAAACTGTACCAAGTTCCAACTGAAATGTGTATATAGGAGATTTTAATATAATTACTCTGATGTTTATCCAGTTCCCTTGAGAGTCACTCAGTTCACGAAGACCATGTTTCTATTGCCTGCCAGCCCAGCACTATGCTAGAACTTTTGCTTCCATGCTGATATAGAGGAGTGTTTTAACTATACATCATGATGTCCTGCAGTATCTTGGATATTTCCTTGCAACTGTCATGTAAATGCCTGACCTGGACCTGACCTGCTTAGCATGCAAGATGAGCTTTTTGCCTATAACAGTGCTCTGAGTTGCTCTTACATATTTTTTCCTTTGTTCATTCTGCAGAAAGAAAGTGTAAAGGTTGCAGTCAGAAAACTGCATCACAGCGAGGGCTATATCTTTGTTCTTTCTTAATATGGAAAAGCAAATTGTGAAAGGCAGGTGTGTGTCCCTAAACAAATAAAGTATACCGTATTTTTCGCTCCATAAGACGCACCTCTCCATAAGACACACCAAATTTTTAGGAGAAGAAAACAGGAAAAAATAATCTGTTTTCTTCTCCTAAACATTTGGTGAGCCTTATGGAGAGGTCCGTCTTATGGAACACACCCTAGGACCCTTTGGAGGCTCGGCCAGCCCTCCCGGGGGCCAGAGGGGGTGAAATTGCCACTTTCAGGGACTCTTCTGAAGCTTCCCAAGCCTCAGAAAAGTCCCAGAAGGTGGCGATTTTGCCCCCACTGGCCCTGCGGGGGGCAGGGTGAGCCTCCAAAGGGTCCTAGAGTGTGTTCCAGGACCCCTTGGAGGCTCATCCTGCTCCCTGGAGGCCAAAGGGGGTGAAATCACCATCTTCAGGGACTCTTCTGAAGCTTCCCAAGCCTCGAAAGAGTCCCAGAAGGTGGCGATTTCGCTGCCGCTGGCCCCATGGGGGGTGGTGGTGGGAGCCTCCCAAGGGTCCTAGAAGGGAGACTCAGACCCTTGGGAGGCTTCCTCCACCCCCCACGAGGCCAGTGGGGGTGAAATTGTCACCTTCCGGGATTCTTTTGAGGCTTTCCAAGCCTCAAAAGGGTCCTGGAAGCTGGCGATTTTGCCTCCCACTGGCACCGTGGGGGGTGGGGGGAGCCTCCCAAGGGTCCTGGAAGGCAGACTCGGACCCTTGGGAGGCTCTCCATCCCCCCACAGGGCCAGTGGGGTCGAAATCGTCAGCTTCGCTCCATAAGATACACAGACTCCCCCCCACTTTTGGGGGGGCAGTCTTATAGAGTGAAAAATACGTCTTATAGAGTGAAAAATACTGTAGCTCTTGTAGAGCTAAATTCTAATCATGACCTGATTTCATAGTAGAGGAAGGAAAACTGGTATAGCCACAACAAATAGAATTGAACTTGGAATGAGAGGCAATTGTGAATTGACTTGATATTGTGGTGCCTTTTCAATAAGATTTTGATAATTTTTTGTGAGGTGTTGCATGTAATCCATTGAAAATATTGTACATGTCTTAAACTGCATCTAATTTTTTGCATGATACTCTCTGCAGCAAGTGCAGACATGCTTTCTATCCCCTCTGGGAAAATAGGATCTGATGACTGGTGAAGAAAGTATGGTATGCTTATTAAGTTCACCCACCCTTCTCCTTGACATTATTAAATGTATCCTTGCTGCTTTGAGATTTGGCTACACTTTTGTCTAAGCACCTTGAGAGAAGAACAGATTCCGCTTGGAGGCTTGAGATGTGAACTTTTGACATCTGTTTTGTGATTCAAGTGACAAATAGAATACAGTTTTTTATCCTATGCTGTAGCACATATCTGTGGCCTTGCGCAGGATGGACTAGTATTCAGTGTAGGCGAATATATGTTCTTAGATCTGAGACCTGGGAATTATCTTAAGGGAGTATGAGGGGGAAGTGTTAGTTGCTGCTGTGCATATGAATTACCCCTCCTTACTCAGTGATTAGGACTTGGGAGACCAGATTTTGAATCCTTTTTAGCCATAGAAGGGGGTGGGGGCAGTTCTGATAAAACCGTTCTTTGGATATCCCACTTACCTTGAAAGTCCTACTAGAGAGTCTCTCTAAGTTGATTCTGACCAGAGTGGATTTGATTTAAATTACTTTAAAGTAGATTTGATTTAAATCATTTTAAATTTTAAAAATAGAATTTTTGAAAAATTAAATAAAATATCATATTTTAAATTATTTCAATTTTTAAAAAATCATTGATGTTTTTATCTACCCTAGTTCTGACTTGATGGCGCATAGCACCCACAAATCCTTCTGCTGCTGCTTTATTCTTTTTAACCCTAGTCAAGCATACTTTCTGCATTTGAGCCTGTTAGAAGGGAGAGGGAAGGAATGTACAGAGGAGAACTGGGAAGAGGAAAGTTCAAGCAGCTACTGCTTTAAATTAGCATTATGAGGGAGAATTGGGGTTAATATTCTGTGGAGTTTTTGTATCCTGTCTTCTTCAGTCAGGCAAAGGTCAGCAGTGGTGTAAAATGCACGCATACACTATGGATTGGAAATTATCACTAGTCATAGTTTTCCCAGTTCAGATGATGAAGGAACTCTATAATTGAGGTATGAATTGGGTGTATGAGAAGGGCAGAGTGTAAGAATGGCATATTTCTCATCAGCAAAACAGGTGTTTGAGGGATCATTTGAATTCAATTGTGAGCTCATATGACTTCCTTATTACAGTTGTAAGGGGCATTGGTGTATAATACATTTTTTGGAAGTACAAAACCGGATAATCCATTCCTATTGGAACGGATTATCCGGTTTTCAATGCATCTCTATGGGAAAACACGTTTCACTTAACGATGTTTTCCCATAACGATGTTTTTTTTGGAACCAATTAACCTCGCTATGCGAGGCACCACTGTATGATGATGTGAGAACTTGTCCCAGGCCACTTACTGAATGTATGACAGAGGGAACATTCTAAGGTGAGGATAGGAAACTAATTTCCTCTGGGCTCTTAACCCAGAGAAAAACGGTATAAGAGTAAACAGCAGGTTATGAGTAAAGGCAAAGTTAAAGATAGAGTTTGTAGGAATGAATAATATATTTTTCTTTTTGCCAAAACATCTCTTCCCTTCCTCTGTTGTAAACTCTCTTTCTGGCAGGCCACCATAGCTGTTAAACTCTCCTCCAAAGCCATATTGTTGAATGAATCAGGTTGCATTGACTCTTGCAAAGATGTAATTTTAAAAATGGAATGAATGTCTCAGTAGGATTGTAGTAGAAGGCAGACATCACCTGCTCTGAAAGACAGAGCTTCTTCACCTATTAGGCATGTGATTTTCTGAATGTGTGGACTACAACTCTCAGATGTCTGCAGTAATTCCCCCAACCAGACTTCTGGAGGCTTTAATCAAGGAATTAAAGTATTGACAGGGGTTTTCAAGATCAGTTACAGCTACTAAATTCATGCAGGCAGCCATGTATCTATCAGCCATGTATCTATCAGCAAATTTAAAGTCAGACCTGATGTTACTGGGGTTCATTGTTTTTGTGCCATTTGTCCTTGACTGAAGTTCTTAATTTGTCTGAACTCCGCTGCCATTGCTATGGAGGAACACAGCTGTTTTTTTTTTTTTAAGAGCTTTTTCTAATGAACAGAATCCTACTTCAAATAACTTATTGGTAATGATATACTGTACTAAAGCATATTGCTGGTACAGTATCTAAGTTTCGGAATTACTGTACAGTCAGGGAACTGAGCCTTTCACTTCAGATATGCAGTCTAATCACAGTTTGTTAACTGTTATTTAACCCAGTCAGCGGTTTACTGTTTTTCAAGAGATGTGCCTGTCTTTTCAGGAGTTAGTACTGAAGCACTTTAAGTGTTCTGAATGTGAATTACAGTAGATGGATCTCCCTAACCCTAGCTGAAATTCTCACTCCTGCCAGAAATGGTGCTACTTCTCTGCAGATAAAGTGCTCCCAACTTTTAATAAGATTTGTTGAAGCATGCCCTGTTGATCATTATTCTAGTCCAGTGATTTTAAACCTGGCGTATGTGTACCCCCAGGATACAAACCAGAACACTTAGGGGTACTCAAAAATATGAATACTGGTGGGAAAAGGTCCATACAACAACAATATAAGCTGCTTATTTGCACCCTGAGAAGTGAGAAATCTCTTGACTTCTTCCTTCTTTCCCCACTCACCACGTGAGAGCCCAGCCAATTCGCTTTCACTCTGAGGCGGTGTCCATTCTTGTCCTATCACTAACCCAGGGGCTTGTGCTACCTGCTCCTTTCCTATCAACAGCGATTTGTACAGGACAAAATGCCTTACAGATGTTAACCCCTTTGCTGGCATGCTTGTGCACACCACCAGAGGCGATGAGGAAGCAGCCTGAAGACTAGCCCTGCCCCCCTGATATGAAGGGTAAAATTTATGGAAATAGGCTGCCAAGGGGTACACAAGTAAAAAAAAGATTGGAAACCACTGATCCAGGGTGATTACATCCATAGTATTCCATTGCATTGCATGAGACAGGCAACTTCCATTTGTTCAAAATTAACACTTGGAAGGAGTTTCTCCTACAGGTGAATTATTACAGAAGTTAAGATGCAACATATATCTCCAGCATGCTGTACCTCCACTATAAAAGTGTTTCCGTTAGAGATCCCTTTTTCCAAGAGGAATTGACAGAACACCTCTTAAGTAAGGGTGTGCTTTCTATAAAGGATAGTTATGAGTGAAAGAGATGGACAAATATTACTGGTTTAATTTTAGGACCAGTTCCATCCCAGTACAGATTTGGGACAAAATAGAGCCTTGTTTTAGGGGCAGTGGGACCACAGTTGTGTTTCTGGAAAAGTTTTTCACAAAGATTTCATTTCTGTTCTTTGCCTCTTCAGCTTTATTGTGCTTGTGTTCTGAATGTAACCAAGCCAACGCCACATGTGAAACAGATGGTGCCTGCATAGTCTCCATAACAAACGTGAATGGGATGCAGCATCATGTCCGGACCTGTATCCCTAAAGGAGAGCTGATTCCTGCTGGAAAACCCTTCTTCTGCCTCAGTTCAGAGGATGTACGCAACACATACTGCTGCTACAAGGACTACTGTAATAAAATTGATCTTATGGTACCCAGGGGTAAGTTGAAGAAAAGAGTGCATTCCTCCCCAAAAACAAGCAAACACAACAACCCTCTACTTTAGTTCTTATGGCTATGTTTTCATTAGTCTTCATCCAGCACCATTTAAAAAAAATTATACCTCCAACTTTAAAAAAACATGGCATGGGTGTGTGTTTGTGTGTTTGTGTGTTTGTTTGTTTGTTTGTTTGTTTGTTTGTTTATTTAAATTATTTATATACCACCTTTCGCCCCATAGGGGACACAGGAGATAAATTAAAAAATTAAAAACGCTATATAAATATCACATTTTAAAAAACCATTTAAACATACATTCAGATTTAAAAATCAAGTATGGAAATAATTGAAGAGCATTTAAAAATCTGTAAGTTAGAAAGTTAAAAAACAGCATTCCTGAGTTAACTTAGGGCTTAGAGGCTTGCCTGAAGAGGAAGGTCAATTTCTCTTTATTCACATTGTATTTGTGTGTTACTTATATTTATCTATTATGCTTCAGCAATGGTTCTCAGAGCTTTGGCACAATATTCAGTTCATATTTAGAAATAAAAGTAATAATGCTATTTGGAATTTATTCATTGGTGGGGCGAATAAGCATTCTTCATTCTTAAATGGTGAGCTGTGGGTGAAGGAAGTAACCTTTCTCTTCTTTGAAACTGGGAGGGGAGGTCTAACCATCAAAGGCCATCACTTCTTAAAAGTACACAATAGCCAGAATTCTGCTGTGATTTTACACTATTGTAATGCAAATGGCATAACCTTTGGAGGCAAATTGCTTCAGGCAAGAAGTCAGTATGGACATTATCTGTTGTATGCTGTGTCACACATGTGAGTACACAACAGATAATGTCTACAATGATTTCTTAACTTGAAGTAATTGAATACCAAAAGTTATGCCATTTACATTACATTTGCAGGCCTATATACCCAGATTTTGGCCAGTAAAAGGCGTATTCAGCAAAAACAAAAGAAAAATAAAGAACACAAAAAACATGCCACCTTAAAGACTAACTGCTATATTTTAATATGAACTTTTGTGGACAAGTCTACTTCTGCAATATGGGAGTGGAGCAGTAAAAAAAATTAGTAAATAGGGGGTGAATAGTTTCGCTATAATATTAGAGATTAATTGCCAGTGCATGGCAACTCCCCTTGCACAGTCGCAATCCATTTAGCAAAGCCAAAAGCAATAAATACTCTTTTTGGAAAGCCAGTATTCTTGTAGGGACAAAATGTTGGGAGTGTGACCTGTGAGAAAGTGTAATTGCCCCCAACAACAGAACACAGCCTTTAGGCAGGCGGGCAGGCAAACAAGCAAGCAGAGCATCATCTACATTAAGAAGTAGGTTGGCACTGTCTAGAAACCAGAATAAAAGCAACTTGTCTTTTATAATCTTGGTCTTGGGTTTCTAATAAACATTTTGAGATACTTTGTTCTTAATCTTTATAATTATAGCTTGAATAGGGAAATTCAAATTATTTGGCACGAATGAGGCTTTATTAACATGGTTTGACTACCTAGATTTTGTCTGATTTTCAGCAGAAACTCTCAGGAGATTAAGATCACTGATATTTGACATTTTAGCCCCAGCACAGATTTATTAGTCAGAGTTGTGGATAGGCATGATACTTCCACATTTTTTGGGATGCAGCACCCAGAATTTTCCAAAAATTCTACCTGAAATTCTGGGAACCACCATCTCTCAGGTCAAAAAGTTGCTAGCCCCCTAATCCTTCATGGCTCCCATGTCTTTTTTCAGAGGCAAATGATTGTGGCTCTGAGCTTACTGGTAATAAAAAGTTCAGAAACTATGGATTTGGGTATTTGGGCTGTGGCTCCCAGAATTTTGGCTGGATAATTCCTGGCGAATATTTGGGGATGCAGTCCAAAAATACCTGAAAACATTGTTGTGGATGTCCATTTCAGATCAGTAGTTTGTTGGGTTTTTTAAGGCTTTATGTGTTCATTTCAAAAGAAGGACACTTTATTTTTATAACTGCATCCTCTGGATGCTTGGTGTAGCTTAGTGAGAGGAATTATCTCATCTGTATTTCTGGTTCTGGACACATATTTTTTAAAAAATTATTGAAAGCATCTGTTACCTTTCCACTAGTAGAGCTTCCAAAGCACTTTATAATAGATTGAAATTAATTAAAAGAAATTAAAACATTTAAAAATGATTTTAAAAATTCGTAAAAATTCAAACATTCTTCTAAAAACTAGTTTAAATTTTTTAAAAAATCTTGGAGACCAAAGGTCCTTCAAAATAGTATACTTCTAGCTACATAGCAGAAGCTTTACCTTTTTTTCATTGATGACCATTTTATTGGAATGTTATTTAAAGTGTATCTGTAGTTGAATTACGTCCATATAACTAAACTATTTTGTTTTGACTGTGTTTGTTCTGTGCCATCGAGTCAGAACCAACTTGTAGCAGCCCAAATAGGGCTTTAAAGGTAAGTGAGATTTTTAAAGGAGTGGTTTTACCAGTTCTACTCCCCCAGTGAGCTTCCATGGCTGAAGCAGGGAATTGAACTATGTTCTCCAAAGTCCTACTTCGTCACTCAATCCACTGCCCCACTAACACAACACTGAGAATATTGTTTTGACTAGAAAATGAGAAAATACAAGCCAAAGCATTAGAATGAGTAAGCACAGTTGATGGTATTGTGAATAGACATGGGAGCTTCGTGTTTGTATCTTGGGGAATACGAATACAACGCTAGGTGCCACGGCGGCCCATGCTTCCCCCCCCCCCGCCTTGTCCACTCACTAGGTTTTTTGCAGCACTGCATGTCTGACGGCAGCAACATTGCACCATGTCATGGACATAGTCCTGCCAGCAGTGCCCTACCTTTCCCTGCAACCAACCACTCTGGCAAAGAAGCTGGAAGAAGAGTCTCCCTGCTCAGCTGCTAAGCAGTCAGCTGAGGGGAAAGGCAGGGCAGTGCCGGGGCGGGGGACTATGTCCACAATTGGTGCAATGTTGCCACTGTTGGACACACATTCTGCAAGGGCCTGGTGAGTGGACCAGGCTGGTTCTGGGGGATGAGAATGGACCGTTGTGGCACCTGCGGTGCTGAGCTTCCTGTTCATATCCCCCAGGATATGAATAGGAAGCTTCCATGTTTAATCGTGAACACAGAGATTGGATAGAATGTTTGTATACAGAAACCTTGCAAGATTTGCTATTAAATGCTGATTTCCTCCCTTTCACACATTTGCTGTCACTCAGGCTTTTAGAATTGTGTTCATGATTCCTTGAGTGCTGCCATGCTAAGCAGGGAATTGTGTTGGGTCCCTCTTGTGGGTGTAAGTTTCATTGCAGCCAAGTTAAAAAAGAAAAACACTACTAGCCTGTTGACCTGACAGTTCTTAGAGTAGGATTATCAGTTCTTTACAATACTGAAACATGATTAAGTGTGTGCTTAAGGGAAATATTTGACTAAATTTTGACCAAGTCAATTAGCAAGAGTGAAAATTGACTTTTTAGCTGTGGAAGTGAGTATCCCACATCTAACGTAAATGCACCATCGTGTTGAGGAGATGATTGCTTCACATTGAAATAAATGTTTTGCTTATGGATTAGTTCCTATCTTCCAGAAAGCATTGCATCAGCAAGCAAGCAGCAAGAGCTGACAAGTGTTTTCCCTGCCACATAGTTTGTCAAGTGGTTTAGGTATCTGGCTGAAGAGCCAGAGGTTCAGAGTTGAATTCCCCACTGTGTCTCCTTGATGGACTGGACTCAATGATCAATAGGGCCCTTTCCCTTTCTGCAGTTCTATGGTTATTATTCTAAGATTATAAAGTATGATTGATGTTACTATTAACATGATTGACCATAACTTTGGGGCTCAGCTACAAAAAAACCAAAAATAAAAATACTTTTGAAATTGGTAGAACAATAGAGAACTCTTGAGCATAGGAGATGGTGATGAAACTTACCTTAACTAAAACAGTTGCTTGTCTTAATCTGCATCAATATTCCATTTGTAATCAGTTGTCAGCATGGGTGAAGACTTTAGGAATGAGATTTGAAAACAAGAGTCACTTTAATTTACAGTACTTTGTTATTGTAATGACCTGATTAGGGATATAATTCTAAATCATTGTTTAGCATTTAGTGAACTATTATCTTCCCTCTAACTTATCTGCAAGGAGAAAAACAAAGAGATCAGCTTCCATTTGCAACTACCCACAGTTAGTCCAGACTGAGATGAAGTGACAGGCATGCTTTAGGTGAAAACAGACACGAATGCCACTTCTTTGTTGCCTCAGTGTCACACATGGGACTGTTTGCCATCTGTTCAGAGCAGTTTGGAACTGTCAGGAGCTGAGGCTTTTGGCAGGAACCTGCTCTTCCCTATGGTGTGCATGTTGTACCACAGTGCCTTTTTGTCCATCACAGCAGTGCAGGGGGAAACACAGGGGCCCGGAGGTCATTTATATAGCCGATGCAAATTCCTGCCAGATTTTCTCTCTCTCTCTCTCTCTCTCGCTCGCTCTCTCACTCGCTCGCTCGCTCATTTTAACTGAATATATTAAAAAAAACCACCAACAATACGGGGTATGTATAGGTTTTGAAAATAATTCTGAAACATTGATCTTTTTCCTCCCCTGCAGGACATCAAAAAGATGAAACTCCTTCAGGTTGGGGGCCTGTGGAGTTGGTAGCTGTTATTGCAGGACCAGTCTTTCTTGTGTTTATCATCATGATTATAGTTGTTTCTGTGTTTCATCACCATCAACGAGTATATCATAATCGTCAAAGACTAGACGTGGAAGATCCATCTTGTGAGATGTGCTTATCCAAGGACAAAACCCTGCAAGATCTAGTATATGATTTGTCTACCTCTGGCTCTGGGTCAGGTACAGACACATTGATTGTTATGCATATACTTGAAAACAATAAATAAAACATAAAGCTGTTTCTTTTCATGCTGCCAGATTATGTGATTGGTTTTAAAATTTAATGTGTAAAAATATGGTATGCTTCTGTTAAGCCAACTCCTGTAAAGTTTCCAGACTCTGCAATCATTCCCCCTTCTAAGCATTCGCAGTCAGGTGGTTGGCTTAAAGCTACCACCAAGATTACCCTTCTTCTCTTCTTAATTGTTTGCATCCAGATGGCCCACCCAAGAGTAGGCATATCAAAAGAATTCTCTCTTCCACAAATTAAACAACAGTAGCCTTTTTTGCTCAAAAGAAAACAGGAGTGGAAGTGTTTACTCATCTTCTGTTCCATAGAGTATGCATTCGTTGCTCACCTAGGCATCACTTCCCCAGTGCAAAATGTAAATAAAGACAGGCTTGTCGTAAGGGTGTCCATAGGTAGTATAGATTTTTATTGTAGCAGTGATTCTACCCGTCGCAGTAACTTTACATGTCAAAGTCCCTTTGTGACTAGAGTCCCTTTATATATCCCCCCCCATTTTAACTGAATATATTTTTATTGTTAGAGGGATGAGATGTTTTTACCAATTATTTTTTTTAAAGGTAAACACATTTTATAGTTAACAAAATCCATAGTAATTGTACAGAACGTAACAATAGCATTTAATGTGTTTAAAAGTTACAGTGCTTAAATATACAAACAAAACCTCAAGTCCTATGTACATATGTATGAGGTCCAGATCCCTGAACTGCTGGCAAATCTGAAAAATGGTATTTGGTAGTTGGCACTGCTAAGGTTTCCCACCCCTAGATATTATTATAATATAATAATAATATACTGTAGATGTAATGTATATATGTACTGTAATATCATGTGTATATGTTTGAAGTCAGATTTGATTCAAAGGTTCCACAATTTCCAACAGTTAGCTTCAGAATGAGCCAAGAGTGCCCACAAGCATATACCATAGGACCCCCATATCCACAAGGGATCAGTTTCACACTCTACCATGGATGCCTGAAACCATGGATATAGGAACCCTATATATATATAACATACAAGGTGGCAGGGCAAAGGCCACAGGAGGGCACCCTTATATGTTGTATATAGGGTGTGGTAAACCATGAGAAAGTGAAACCGTGGATACCAGTGCTGCAGATATGGGAACCTACCTGTCTTCAGTAATAAGACTGAATGTATTCTCAAAGGCTTTCACAGCCAGGATCCAATGGTTGTTGTGGTTTTTCCAGGCTGTTTGGCCATGTTCTTAAGGTTTTTCTTCCTAATGTTTCGTTAGTCTCTGTGGCCGGCATCTTTAGAGGACAGGAGTCAGAACTCTGTCTGTGCTCTGTTGCAGTTTGTTGAGTATTTATAGCTGTGGGAACAGCTTTTGTCCTTTTCAGGAGATTGGGTGATTATGGTGATCAGCATGTTTTTTTGTGGGTGTATTGTTGTATACACCTGTGACGTGCACCCTGTGTCCTTTGTTTATTTTCCCTGAAACACAAGTCCACCCTCTGGATGCTTGTCCTCACTTCACGCTGCCACCAGGTATTATTCCCTCAATACCAAATAGAGAAATCTAAGACACGTGCTGCTAAATCAAGATTTATTGATTTTATAGATGTTATGCAAATCACAGGAGAAATCACAGATGTTTGGAATAATTCATTAAATATAATTTGCTTTCACTTGGGTTTATATGTGTTCTTATTTACTTTTATAATACAGTGATGCCTCGCTTAGCGACGTTAATCCGTTCCAGGAAAAACGTTGCTAAGCGATTTAATCGTTAAGCGATTTTTAAAAACCCATAGAAATGCATTAAAACGTGTTTAATACGTTCCTATGGGCTTAAAAAACTGACCTTATGCGAAGATCCTCCATAGGGGCGGCCATTTTCGGTGCCTCTAAAGCGAGGCAAAACAGTGGGCGGCTATTTTGTTTTTCTGGCAGCCATTATGGAACCGCCGATCAGCTGTGCAAAAAGGGTCGCTTTGCCATGATCGCTTCCCCGCGATCATCGCAAAGCGATTTTTCCCCATAGGGGCCATCGCTAAGCGATCGCTCTGGCGATGGCCAAACCCCATCGCTAAGCGATTTCATCGCTCAACGGAGCGATCGTTAAACGAGGCACCACTGTATTCTTTTGACTATCTACTTATTCTCTATGGCATTTGAATTTCCTATTCTTTCTAGCTTTCCAGCTTTCCAATCGCTGTCGTAACTATCTCAATTCAATCTCCTAACTCTCTCTCTCTTCAATTCCCTATCTACTGCCTCTTTTCTCCAACTCTCTTCCCTAACTGTCTGTCTAACTAACTCTTCAACTGCCCTTCTGGTTCCGTCCCTCCTGTCCTCTCATAGGCTCCTGCCTTTGAGCTTCCCATGATGGACAGACATGACGTGGGATTCTGCTACAACACCCACAACAAAAACATGCTGATCACCATAATCACCCAATCTCCTGAAAAGGACAAACAGCCCGGAAAACCCACAACAACCAATAAGACCAAGTGTTGGCTGTGCATGTTGGATTCCATGCTGCCATGTCATTCCTTCCTATGGAATCCTCTGAAGAATTTTCCTATATTACTGCATGCCCCTTTATGCTTGATCTGAGTATGGAGCTAAGCATTGGCAGCCTCTAAAAGCCTTCCGTGTACATCAAACTGCCGGCTTTGAGCACCTGCTTCAGTGCCATGGCTACTCTGTTGTTCAGGTCACCTGTAGTTTGGGTTTTGACACGTTGGTACTTAATAATATTAGGAAGATTTTTAAGTTGGACTCCTGAATGTTTTCTGAATGTCTTATTTTATTCTTAATCTGCATCTTTGTCTGGCAGGTTTGCCACTTTTTGTCCAGCGCACTGTGGCTCGAACAATTGTCCTTCAAGAAATAATTGGCAAAGGCCGTTTTGGGGAAGTCTGGCGTGGTCGGTGGCGAGGGGGTGATGTAGCGGTGAAAATCTTCTCTTCACGAGAAGAACGATCCTGGTTCAGGGAAGCCGAGATCTACCAGACCGTCATGTTGCGGCATGAGAACATTCTGGGGTTTATTGCTGCAGACAACAAAGGTACCTTGCTGCTTAAATGTTCCACTAAACCAACAAGAGTTGCAGGAATTTTTGAAGCTTAAGATAGATATGAAATGTGCACAGTGAGAGATTGACATGGCTAAAATTGACAACATTTTTAATATTTTCTGTAAAAGGCTTGTTTGTAATCTAGTTTATAGCATGATGGTTAGTATTGATGAAGTCTCTGATGGCTGTTGTTTGCCCTGATGTGGTATCTGGAAGTGTTAATGTGCATTTTATATATTCAGTGACTGAAAGTGGCAACATAATCTTTTTACAGACAGCGGGCAAAATCCTGTTGATATAGATTTATACCAACAGAATTTTACCAGCTGGTACTGGTAAAATTTAACTTAAATAGAAGCTTCCTAGGTTCTGAAGCTCCCTCTGTCTCCCTTTTGCCCTGGAAGAGTCATGACCAAAATTGCTACTGGTTTGCCGCTGGTGATTTTTGGAGATTGAAGACCCTCTTAGGAGTGGGCTTTTGATCTGTCCTGCTCCAAAGACAAAGCTGCAGGGGCAGCTTTCCCTTTGCAACAATACAGTGGCTGTCACAACTAAAACCAGTGAGAGAAGCAAAAGGGAACCACAGACTTGCTTCACTTTCCTCTTTACAATGGACTGTTGCAGTCACCTTTAGTTAGCAACTCTTGTAAGCAAGAGGAATGAATCACATTAGTCCTGTGGCAGAGTGTGAGCAGTTCAGTATGTGAATTTGGTGTGCTTTTCGTTGAACTCAGCACATTTCACTTGGGCAGTTCAGGTAATTTCCTTCGCAATACCAGTTACAGACCAGCATACATATTGCTCCTCGTGGGCTTTCATTAAAAACTAACCTTTCTAAAACTTTGGAGACTCCCCCCTTTTGAATTTTAGCAGGAATTTCGCTCTTTTATTTCCTTTCATGTCAGAGTGGAGTGTTAAGCAAAACCTTTCTTAGGATCACTTTGTGTTGCGTTAAGCCATAGGACTTCATTCACGTCAAGGTCATTTGGCTTCCATTTCAGTTAAGCTGTTAAATTTCTAGATCTGCAACTTAACCCAGCCCCTAAAGAGTGGAGTTTCTGCTCTTATAAAAGTCACTTAAATATAGCACATGGTTGTTACATCAGAGAAATCATTTTAAAAGTTTAGCTGTTCTAGTATTGAAAAAATAATTCCTTTATTATAGACCAGATCTTGTATACCTCTTATGAAATTGATATTGTTACGAGGAATCACTGTTAATGCCAATTAAAGTATTCATCTTGCCTGACCAGCATGAAAATATCTTGACAGCCTAATTGCATGCAAATGTGTGCAATGTAAAGTGTTTGTCTTTGGCTCTGAGGGACAAGAGTACTTTTCTTTCCACATAGTACGAGGGGGTGCTGATAAGTATTGAGCCTTCCCAGAAAAAATTGAGCTAGGAAGCTGGAACTGCCACACTATTCTACATATTCCCCCAGGAAGTCAATGCACTTGCAACATCTATCCTGCAGCTTCTTAAGTCCCTGAAAATAAAATTCTTTCAACTGCTGGCGTAACCACTCATTTGCAGTATTAGTTGCCTCCAGAACACTCCCAAATCGTTGTCCCTTGAGGTGTTTTATGAATTTGGGAAACAGATAATAGTCAGAAGGAGCCAAGTCAAGAGAATAGAGTGGATGGGGCATCGCTTGAAAGCCTAAGGAGGTCAGTTTTCCCATTGTTTCACCTGCAGTGTGTGACGAGGTGTTGTCATGCAACAGGATGACACCTTTGGAGAGCTTTCCTCAACATTTTTCCTTGATGTTTTGCCTCAACTTCATCAATAAAGCACAGTAATATTTTGCATTGATGGTTGAACCCTGTTGGAGGTAGTCCACCAGCAGAACTCCTTTCTTACCCCCAAAAAACTGTTACCATTTGCTTCTGCACCGACCTTTGCACTGGGAACTTCTTTGGCCTGGGGGAACCACTGTGCCTCCATTCCTTACACTGTTCCTTTGTCTCAGGATCATAACAGTAACTCCATGTCTCATCACCACTTACCAGTTTGCCCAGGAAATCTGACTCATTTCTTGCAAAATGTTCCAAAACAGCCACCAGTGACTCCACCGTTTCCTCTTTTGTTTGGTTGTCAAAAGTTTGGGGATCCACTTTGCTGCCAGCTTTCTCATTTCCAAGTCGTTGTGGATAATGGCACCAACTCTTTCATGTGGTATTCTCAGATATATAGCAGTACCTTTGGCTGATATTCGGCAGTCCTCCATGATCATGTCATGGAGGGCTTTCACATTTGCAGGCATAGAGACAGAAACAGGCCTTTCACTGGGTTTCTCACTTTCAACACCAAAATGGCCAGTTTTAAAATTGACAACCCAATGTTTAACTGTTGCATATGAAGGGCCACTGTCACCCATAGTTTGTGACATATCATCATGGATCTGCTTTGTACCTTTCCCTTGGAGAAACAGGAACTTGATTATGGTCCTATGCTTTTCCACATTGAACTTTTCTGGAGGTGCTGCCATGTTCACTTTGGAGCTGAAAATGAAAGATAAGCTAAAATCATAGGTAGTTGATTTTTGCACCATTGAATACAGACAAATTGGCCAATACACCCTGCAATTTATAGCTTCCTAGCTCAATTTTTTCTGGGAAAGGCTCAATACCTATCAGCACCCCCTCGTAATACAGCAGTAAAGGACTTGACTCTGTAACTGTTCACACTGCGGGAAATTATTGCTATTTCTAAGTATTAAATCCCTCTGCTCCACCACCATATACTGCTATACCTTGGCAGCCAGGTCACAGACGATCAGAGGTGGCAGTTTACTAAGTTACTTGTAATTTGTTACTTCCAGGCTCTGAATCGGGAGAGCCATTGCCAGTACAGACCTCTGCAAACCTCTATATATGATTGAGGCTGCTTAAACATCTGTAGTAATAAACTGGGGGAACAAAATGATTCTGAAGGAGGAGCATTCCTTATAGTAAATGCCACGGTACACAGCTGAACTAATATATTTAGGGTATACAGTGGTGCCTCGCAAGGAAAACATCGTCTTGCAAAATGTGGTTCCCCATTGGAATGAATTGAAATCTATTTAATGCGTTCCAATGGAAAAATCACTGTCTTGCAAAAATCATCCATAGAAAACATTGTCTTGCGGAACGCGGTTCCCCATTGGAATGCATTGAAATCTATTTAGTGTGTTCCAACGGAGAAAAATCGTCTTGCGAAAATCATCCATAGAAAACATCGTCTTGCGAAGCACAACAGCGATTACAAAAAACAATGGTCTTGCTGATTAATCATCCCACGAGGCAATTGTCTTGTGAGGCACCACTGTATATTACCCTAAATATAGTTGTGAAGATCTTTCACAGCTATACTATCATTGCAACTAATAATCCCTGCTGTCCTTAAATGGATTCTAGAACAAACATAGGGCTGCAATTACCTGTCCCATATTTATATATCCTCCTATATTTGTCTTTCCAATAGATAATGGGACTTGGACTCAGTTGTGGTTGGTCTCTGACTACCATGAGCATGGCTCTCTGTTTGATTACCTCAACCGGTACACTGTAACTATTGAGGGGATGATTAAATTGGCTTTGTCTGCTGCCAGTGGATTGGCACATCTGCATATGGAAATTGTGGGAACCCAAGGTAAGAAACAGATTTATTTTCAATAAGAATGAAAGAGAGATGCTTCTGCAATTATTGAAAGACTTGAACAAAAAAAAACCTATTTTTAAGGTGAAAACAGAATGAGGTAGTGTGGAGGATGGTAATAAAACTGATAGAATGCAGGCCAAAACTGATTTGTTGAGAAGACTTGAAAGGCTAGCTGTAAATTGACATACAGTATATGTAAAACACTGGCCCAGTTTTCCAGCTTGTTAAACTATATTTAAGCAGCCAAAAACAGGCTCCGGAACTACATGGCTTAAGAACCAAGCTCATAAACTGATATGAAGCCTTCTTTTCCCTTTATTCAAATATTGGGAACCTCTAGTTTGAGCTAACTGGAACTGGCATGTCAAGGAGGTAAGGAAAGAGAACAGTTGCAGTGTCTACTCACTGCTGCTAAACCATGGCTTAACAGGTCAGGAAGTACCGTATGTTTGGAACTGCTGTCTTAACAAGAACAGGTTAACAATGAAAAAGCTATTCAGCTTGCATTGCTGCTAAAACAGGTGTAAGAAATCAGATGAAAGAGACTGTGTTTGTTTCCCCAGGATTATGAGTTGAACACTGTGTAGATTACATCCCACTGGGTTTAATGGCAGCTTTGTGTTGCCCTCCTGCTTTTTGCTTTATTCATGGCAAATTGTTATTGATTGATTCCAAGAAGGGCAAAAATTCATTCTCCTTCTGCTTTGTTAGGAAAACCAGGCATTGCACATCGGGACTTGAAATCCAAGAATATACTAGTGAAGAAAAATGGGACTTGTGCCATTGCTGACCTGGGGTTAGCTGTTCGCCATGACTCTGTTACTGATACTATTGACATTGCACCTAATCAGAGGGTTGGGACAAAACGGTAAGGCAATAGTGAATGACATGACCTGGGTGTTAGCTTTGCATTTGGGTGGACAAAGAAAGGTATAAGTTGTTATAAAGGTTTCTTTTATGCTGTCCCCTTTTCTTCCTTGCCCTTTAGTTGTTTAGTGTTCAGTTCTGCCTATTGTCAGACACTTTCCATCCCCTAACTCTAGTTAACTTTGTCCAGTTGCATTATGAGAGTTGGGTTTTTGAACAGCAAAAAAATCATTTGAACAAATGACAGTATAGTAAAGCAGTAACTTTTCTAGAACAACAAACTAACATTATAATTGTAGGCAGATTTTCAGATTAATACAGTATTAGACAAAAAACAGTATAGTTAACTATTGTGAAACTTAAAAAAAACACATTGTAATACAATGTAAACAGTACCAACACTTTACCTGGCTTTTACAGGAGCTGAATATCTGATACAAGAACTCAACATCTGCATTATTAAGTCTGCATGAATAAAAAACAATTTACATTTAATCTTTCCCGCCCCTGCAGAGGAACTACTTCTAAGTAGATTATCCTGGCTGGTTCTGAGTGTAATTTAAAGTCTGTAGTACTGTTTCATGTATTTTACCTTAATTTGTACACTTAGTTCTTTTCAATAGTTATTGCAGTAGTTAGAGCTTTTGTTACTCACAAGAGCATTATAGAGCAAACAGCTAGATTTCATTGGGTTAAATTTGATAGTCCCATTGAATCACCCAGACTTGCGTAAATGTTTACTCCCAGTTGATCCACTGTATGTTTCCGAGTTAGGACTAGCAACTGAACCAGACCACTTAGCAAAATGGAGTCATAGGCAGTTCAAGGTTGTGTCCTTTTTCTCCAGATGGCTGCTTGTGTTTGGAGGAGGCCAGTGGTGCTTTGCTAATTTGGTAGGCTTGCCTCAACGGCTGCAGGACTGTTACTTCGTCATTATATTTTTGTTTGCAATTCACAATGTATTGAGATGGTTTGAAATTACTGGGCATGGTTAAGTGTTTTTAACAGGAAGTCAAGTAATGTATTCATTTAAAATTTTGAAACTTCTCTGAAATGATCCATTTTGTGCAATGAATTACAATTTTTGTGACAGTGTTACTGAGCCATATTTACGCAAGGATGTTTCTGTAATGTGCTTAACTATGATAATAGTAATAATTACCCACATGAAAGTAGTGTAGACTTGTAGAGATCTGTATCTAGAGAGAATCCCCAGTAAACAATATAGCAATTAATCTAGTTCTTATTTTTGCTTCAGTTACATGGCTCCTGAGGTTCTTGATGAAACTATAAACATGAAGCATTTTGATTCATTTAAATGTGCTGATATCTACGCCCTGGGCCTTGTTTATTGGGAAATTGCTCGCAGATGCAACTCAGGAGGTAATCAGTTGTTGTTGTTTTTTTCTCTTATTGTCGCATAGAAGATAAGAAGGGTATTGTTGGCTTTAAATGCTGGAGTTACAACCACATGATAATAAGTGCATAAAAACTTCAGAAAAAAGTTCTTCATAGTAATAGAAGGAGTGGGAAGTTACTGCTGCTTGTCCTGCTTGGGGAAGGACATAATCTTCCTAATTCAGGGGATCATTTTGTTTCAATTGAATCTGCATTCTAATTAGATTGTATTGAAAGGTTTTGGTTGGAATTCTGGATATTTGTTCTGATTGTGGAGTCATGGTTCTGGATGAGCTTTTCTGGATAGTTGTCCCTAGACATAGACTATTCATATTTGTATCCCTGGGAATACAAATATGAATACAAATAGCCGCATTATAGGTGCCACAGAGGTCCATTCCCTTCCTCTAGAACTGGCCAGTCCACTCACTGGTTGCCACACAAGGCTGGGACCCTTTGGTCATTGTTAGTCCGCCAATCTAGGAAGGAGCCCGTCTGGCGCTTCCCCACCTGCAGCCAACTACTCATCAGCTGAGTGGAGAGACTCCCTGCCCTGCCTCCTTACTGGATTGGTTGTCTGCACAGTGAGGTGGGCAAGTGCCAGCCAGCCTCCTTCCCAGATTGGCACAACAACGAAGGATCCCACCCCTGTGTGGCAACCAGTGAGATCTTTTGTTTGATGTGGAAGGATTCTTTAGCAGGAAGGTATTTGGCCAAGGAAGTTACCCTCCCAGGTCACCAGGGGATATCAACCTTTTGGGGGAGCCTGTCCAGCTGGGTCCTTTTACTGCTGTTCCCTTATTCCATTCAGACTTCATAAACAAAAATTCTGCAAATGGGTGACTCAGATGGAGCACCCTAGAGTCTGCAGAAGAGACCTTGGTAATCTCAACAGCCTCTTCATGCTGCTCCCCACAGTGCCTCCAAGCATCTTCTCTTTGCTCTCTCCCCCTTTGTAAAGTACTTCCTCTCATTCCTGCACAGTGGATTTTCTCATTCCATCTGCACTTGGACATAGTGTGGAAACAGCAGATGTCCACCAGTGCACTACTACTGCATTCTATATCTGTAGCTTTGGTCTGCTACCGGCCTGGTCCCTCTTTCTTTTTGGCTTTTTATCAGGAAGAAGGAACATAGGTTGGCAGGGCAGGGCTACATTGCAGTTTGTCGTCTCCTTTTCCTCCCTTAAAGGTATCCATGAGGAGTATCAACTTCCGTACTATGATCTTGTGCCCTCCGACCCTTCCATTGAAGAAATGAGAAAGGTTGTGTGTGACCAGAAGCTGCGTCCCAACATTCCCAACTGGTGGCACAGTTATGAGGTATAATTTAAACTTATTACTAAAATAATTATTGGGGAGGGGTCAACATTCCCTTTAATTTTCCCCATTGCGTGGGAGTCCCGCCCCATGCATGCAGGGATGGTGGTTTAATCCAAAACTAGAACTAAACGGGTGTCAACACTGGCTGTTGGTTCTCAGCCCGATGGTGTTTTGTGCATGCACGTGTATACACACAGCTTAGAGGGAACATTGCGAGAGGGAAATCATGCCACTTGCTGGTTCCTTGCAGTACCTCTTCTGAAGATTTTTGGACCAAATGAGAATTGTTTCTTTTCAAAGTCTCCAGCAACAACAAGGTACAGTGGTGCCTCACAAGACGAACGCCTCACCGGATGAAAAACCCACAAGACGAATGGTTTTTGCGATCGTGTTGGTGACTCGCAAGATGGCTTCTTCTATGGTCGTACTTCACAAGACGATTTTTTCCCCACAAGACCGATGCCTCGCAAGACAAAAATAATTCAGTCGTTTTGCGAGGTTTCCCATAGGAATGCATTGTAGTGCATTCCTATGGGAAACCGCTTTTCGCAAGATGGCGGTACTCGTGGAACGAATTACTTTCATCTTGAGAGGCACCACTGTATATCCCTCTCTGTTCTAACAGAAAATCTAGGGCCATTTTTCCAAATCCAGATTGGGGGTTTTTTTTGCATTTGAATGGTCTAGTTTTGCAGAATCACAGGTTTTTATTCAAGACGTAGGCAGATCCTGAGGTCAGAAAATTGACCAGAAATTCCATCATATAAAGAACATGTAGCAGCTAAAAATTGTACTTTTAATACAATCAATCATATTGATTTAAGACACAGAGGGAAGCTTTAGTGTGTGACTGGCATTAAATAAGTATACAGCTACATTTGTTATACAAGAAGCCTATTTACCAGCTCATTCTTGAAGTAAATAATTTTTCTTTTCATCATCCTGGGCATAGAAATACTGCCCATAAAGATCCATAAACAAGACATATGCAGGTTTCTTATTGTAATTTGTAGGACAATGCATATATTGAACATTTATGTGGCACATTTTTAGTAAGTCAAGTGCATTACAGTTCTTGCCTTTAGCAACCTGATCAGAAAAAAATAGTTGATTGATATTCAAACTTGGTCTGTTTATTTCTTTGAAATATAGTGGGCTGTTTTGCAGTAAAGATGGAGTCTCAAAGTGCGAGAAGGTTTTTTATTTAAATTCTGCTAATGAGCAGAATGTACCATCTCACAGAAAAACAGTTACCTATGTGATGTCTCAAAGGACCATTGAATTGGATTTGGGGTGTGCTATTCTGTGTGGACTGGCTCCAGATTGGAAATGGCAAGGCAGAGCCAGTGTGAGGCAAGCGGTGCAGTGGAAGGAGCTCACCAGCAGTTTTGCTGGGCTGGGCCTTGTTGGGGGGAGGGAGGCGGTAGTTAGGGGAAGATAAGTGGCCTCCGCTGGCTTTGCCTTGCCATTTCTATTCCAGATGTATTGCGCTCACTATCTAAAAACAGAAATGACGGCATGACAGAGGTGACATGGGTGAGATCAACTTGTGCTCAGAGAGAGTCGAGCCGTGCCCTATGATATTTCTTTCCAGCTGAGGTGTTCAGGTGGTGTGGTGAAAGTTGCAGAAAAAAAATCAAGATAAAGTTATCTTGATGATTTTTGTTATTTTGTAGTGGGAAGGGAAGAATTGGAAGTTGTTTGGGGTCTTGGATTTATGAGGAAATCACAGAGAAGGGAGTAAAAATCACCATTTTTGTGGCTGGAACAGGTTTGAGATGCTCAGATTTGTACTTTTGGACTGCAGCTCTCAGAGGGATTCTTTGGAGAAAACTGTGAGTTGCAGTCTGGTCCTGGGGCAGTGGCTTGGGAAGTCCAGGGGTTGCAGACCAAAATTTGGTGGGTGAAACAGACCCCTAGATTCGATACACCGCAGAGAAATGTCTGATGACTTGTCTTCTCCTGTGTTCTAGGCTTTGCGAGTAATGGGGAAAATGATGCGAGAGTGCTGGTATGCTAATGGGGCAGCACGTCTCACAGCCTTGCGCATTAAGAAAACTCTCTCTCAGCTGAGTGTCCAGGAAGATGTGAAAGTTTAGTCTGCAAGTGCTATCCGGAAGAACCTGCACAAAAGCTGCCATGCTAGAACTGATAAGTGATGAAGAAGGCCTACCTCGTATTTCTACAAAGCCTGCTGCTATCAGCTGGACAACATGGCCTGCAGGTGGTTCGGTGAGGAAGCTGGAGTTCATAGACTTAGCTCCCTTCCTGGTTCAGGAGTGAAATGCATCTTTTTACAGATCCCTTCTTAAGACTATGAAGAGAGGATTGTATGGAGAGATGTTCTCTGCAGCTGTCACCCTTGTTTCTCTGACGGAAATCCCTGTAAATTCTCATGACATGTTGCTTAGGGAAATCTTGTGGCTTTGGAGAGGAAAAGATTTCTTGTGTACTGCAAGTTGCGTGGGGTGGGAAGTTCTTAAGGACCGATAGGTACAAACACAGGTCTTGTGTGTTTCTCTGTCTGGCCACATGAACGTCTTCACCCTTTTCTGGCTTGACAGATCTGAAGCCAGTACAACCATTGGTGTTTAAGAAGTGTGCATGTGCAAAGGTACGTGTCCCTGTGCCCCAGGTATGTATTGTACCCGCTTGTGCTCTTGTGCATGTCAAAATATAGAGTGTCCCCTTGTGAAGTGCAGGTGCGAGTGCCCTCTTTGTCCACTAGTTGAACGATAGCTATCTTGTCTTTTCACTAGGGAGGGGTAGAGGGTCTGCTGTGCCAGTTGTTAGACCTACCAACCAGGGCACTTCACCAATTGTCTCACTGCCATCCTTCCCCTCTTTTAAAGCAAGGAATAGATACTGCTGTTGCTTGTTTTCAGGAGTCCCCTGTAATGCTGGGTAGCAACACCTGCCTAGCAAAGAGAGAAATTTACAGACAGTTTAACTTCAGCTGAAATTGGTGCTGGTCCTGATTTAAAGGGAGCAAGGTAAAAGAAGGGCTGGAGAAACAGGCTGACTCTATAAGATAATTGTCCTTCCATTTCTCAAGGTGCCTTTGGCACAACAAAATATTTTGAATTTCTCAAATATGGGGAGATATGCATTCAGAGACTTCCTGGCAAGATTTGTCCACTGAGGAATGAATACTATAAAACAAGTCTGTTTGTGTTTCTTTTTAAGTGTGTGTGTGTGTGTGTGTGTGTGTGTGTGTAAATAAATATAGATATGTATATATATAGATAGATATATATACACATATGGTCCCCCATATTCTAGAAGTTTCTGTCAGTCACGAGGCGGGTGGTGGGGGAGGGTTGGGAGTGGATTAACTGCATGCATTTTGTTTCATTTAAATGATCAAGGTTTAGTAAAACTGATTTGGCTGTCATTTTTGTGTTGGTACAGCCTGAGATTGTATTATGGTACAAATAATTCATTAAAACTCCATTGTGTGGGGGTTGGGTGTTTGTGGTAGATAACTCCTGAAGCCATAACTTTTAACTGGAGTGGTTTGATTAATTTTGTTTAATTCTTATTTTAATGGGTGGGTCTGGATTTTAACTTTTTTTACTATTCTTTGTAAGAGAAGTAAAATTGATAATTACCTCTCGTTCTGTTTTTAAAGAAATCACTGCAAAAAAACCTGAAAAAATGCACAGAGCTCAATTTTACACTGGAACTATTTGTACTCAAATCTTGAGCCCTGATATCTGAGGGGAGGTGTCTCCACTCTGAGACTGGGTGTTTTTTAAGACTGTAAAACATTATGTATTTGCTGTCTGTGCGGGTGGGTGGTTGTTAGCGTACATTGTGTGTGTCTGTCTCTCCCTTCTTCCCCTTCCCTTGTCCTTAATTGTGTAGTGTGTAAAGTTGATGAACTGTTGTGTTGTGCTTTGGAATCAGTTTTAATGTTCTCCTTTGGGTTTGAAACAAGCTACTTGTGTTTTGAAATCTCAGGCACTGTTATTCACAGAAGGAGATGTGGAATTTGTACTTCTGATTGTAAAACTTGTCTTTTTCTGTAAATTCATCTTGATCATTTCTGAACCAGAGGCTACCACACATTTCCAGAAGAGGGAAACAGCTCACAAAAATCATCTCATCTCAGATCTAAGATGAAAGATACCTTGATGTTTATATAGATTGTCCATTCCTGTAAATAAGAAAAAGGTTGTACTTGGTTGTTGGCACTGGAGGCTGAAGATCACAAAGATTCTGGATGGTACACATGTATGTTGCATATGCAACAGTTCCATTGTGTGAATCCTCCTTGATTTAAAACAAAAGGCTCTTTGGAGCTTCAATTGTCCTTTGAAATTCTGTGGTGTGGACTGTAGGATGAACTTTTGTTGGGTATAAGAAATTAATTTGAAAGACTCGTTCTTCTGATAGGCACATTGCAAGAATTTTTGCAGATCACTTCTAATACATACAGTATTTCACTTCTGTGATTTTGCAATCCTAGTTGCCAAACCTAGAGGTAGATTCTATTCAGATCAGCAGATTGTGTTTCTTATAAAGGCAATTTGAATTGGAGTGCTATTTACCTAATTAATGTGTTACAGTAATTTGTTCCTCTCTTTCATTCTCTTTTCCTTTCTCTTACACTATATTTAGGGAGTTAATGTAGGCACCTGGTAACTCCTCCTTGTACAACTCTGTTGTCTTGTATTTAAAAGACAGCAGGTTGTATCACAATTACTAATCTCAGGGTGGATTTGATTTAAATCAAATTAATTTGAATTATGATTTAAATCAAAAGATTTTTGTGACATTTATATAAAAATTGGTTTTTTATTAAAATCATGGTTTAAATCAATTTGATTTTTAAAAATCATTTATTTTTATCTTTCCTGCTGATCATGCTGTGCATGTTTCCATACATGACTCATTCATGTGCTTGAAATTAGGTCTCTGTTTGTATCAGTTTTTCATCATTCTTTATCCACAGAGCTTTGCAAATTTTCAGCAGAAATTTGTTTAATTCAAATCTGCAGCCATAGGAGAAGAGCAGAAAGGTATTCACCAAAGAGCATTAAAATAAACGTTTTAGCAGGGTATGCCAGATGCTTATTTGGATTTTTTCTGTTATAAAGGTAAGAGTTAACAGTAGGTACAAATTTCAAGAGGTGGAAAGGGAATTTTTTTTCTGCTTTTACTATTCATCTGCACCAAAAATGTGTTTGGATAGGAAACCTATTGGTTTCACAGAATTTTATTCCTGATCCCCCTTCCATGATTAAAATGAAAAAGTTGGCAGAAAATATAAAAACTTTTCAGTGATCAGCCAAAATTCTTTATAATATTAACCAAGGTTATCTAAGAGAATGATGGAAAGCAGTAGCCATAACACGATCTCTGTTAATATGTCTACTTCAGTGATCTCAGTAACCCAACTTCATGCAACAGATTTCAAGTTATTTTTTCCTGCTAGGTAACAACCAGCAAGGTTCACCTTGGCATCAAATCAAAGAGTGGTGGTGTTAACCTCTGAATGGAGACATTCATTTGCAGTGCCCTTAATCATTTCTTTCATATCTAAAAAATGGAATGTATGGGTTCTTGGCTGTTAAACTTTTGGCAGGTAGCAGACTGGCTTCAGAATAAGATAATTGTTGGTACAATTGTCTTTTCTCTGCCTCCCATTTCCCCTTCTTTTTGTCCTCTTGTCCTTGGATCCTACTTGACCTTTATATTTGTTTCAGGTTTTCTATGTTTTACTAGGAAAAGACTGTAAAATAACCACTTAGACACTTTACCTCCTCAGTATGCAAATGTAAATAAATGTAATATAGGAAAGAAATCTTTTGTTTTAATATAAAAATGAAGCTGTCCAATTTTCTGTTGTACATTATATTAAAAGTTTGTTTTTATTCACGTAACCTCTCTGATCTTTTCTGTTGTGATTAATTCTGATTTGAATGTACTGCAGCAATATGTATACAGTACTTGTATTTTAATGGCTGAAGTCCTGTTGGCATAGCTAAGGGTGATATTGTCACTAGCAGGGGGACATATTCAGTAATGAAAAACTTTGCTCTCCTGTGGCTTTTCTGACTTCAAAATTGAATGAAAGCAATTGGGTGGTAGGTGGAAGTCTTTTTATTACTGAAAATTTGCCTCTTCTTGGCAACATAGTCCAATATTTGGTGATTAAAGACTTCCTTCTCCCATCCCATGGCTCCCACAACTTCTACTCAATTAAAGAGATAACTCCCAAGTCAGAAAAGCCATGGATGGCATTGAAGGAAGAAGTCTTCCATTACTGAAAATCTCTCCCTGCTCATGATGTTACCATCTTTCCACAGGAATATCTATGCCAGCAGGATTTCAGCCAATATCAATTGAGGGAACGGAACAGAATAAGCAGATAGCAAAGACTGTCGATTCTCCACAGGGTTCACTATTGAAGTACAAAACTAGATAGCACAGGGATGATACAGAAAGAACTTCAGTATGCTAGTCCTATGTGCAGTGGTTATGTTAATGATGCCTGTAGGAAGTGCTTTTTATTGAGGAGAATCAGGCTTTGTTGTAAGAAAAAGGCAAGCAGTAGGATTTTAGTCAGAATGCTAATATGCAGCATTTCCTGTTCCTTAAAGAGATAGTTTGCACATTTCCCATGTGCAAATTATGTGAAAGGATGGGAAAATCCACGCAACTTGTATTTACTGTATTGTTCTTTCTGTTTTTGTGTAATGTGCAAATCTTATTTGTGTTTACTTGAAAATAAACCCCACTGGGTTTACAAGAGTTTCACTCCCATTAAAATGTATGTAGAAATGGGCACTTAAGACAAATAGAGGTGTAACGCTTTCAATATGGTGGAAGTTGCTTTTTGATAAGGTTCCAGAACAGAAGTTAGGTTAGAAGGGCCTTTTTTACAACTGGGGGATTGCACAATTCATATAGCCTTCTGGCACTTTACTCTCCCATTTTCTTATCCCTTTAGTCAGAATTTGAGGATGATGGATAAATTTGTGGCTAGACAGCCAAAGGCATTCCACACTTTATTGTTGGCTCATGTTGCTTTTGTATTGTTCCTTTTAACATTTCTTTAAGCACTTTTTATTCCAGTGTTTTACCCTTTTCACAGACAGTGAAACAAAAGCAGCAGTTGTGATCACTATTCCCTTCTGCCACTTATCTTTAAAAGGAATGGCTCTCTTTCCTCACTTTTTTTTCTTCTCTTGCCTTCCTCCAGCAGGCTCTGGAGGCATTTCTCTGCCCCAGATCCACTCTCCCTTCACTGCACTGCCACGGTTGCGCCTGGAAAAGCCAGATACTCAGGTGAAGCAAAAGGCACCACTGGCAAAAATGGCAAAAACTTTAAATTCTGTCACCATCTTGTGTGTCAGCATGCCTCTCTGAGCTGAGCTCACTCAGGTCCAAAAGCTTGACATCAGTCCACTAAAGGTGGATGTGGAGAAGCAAAGAGAAGCAAGAGTGGCTCTTTCAGAGGAGGCAGGAGCAATGTGCATGCATAAGAGGCAAATCCACTCAAAGGGGTATAGAAATAACTAAAAACTCTTGGTTGCCAGCAATTCAAGTTCAGATTAAAATTATCTGTGGAACAAAAGGATTAAGATAAAACAGCATTGTGTATACCATATTTAATATAATAAATATATAAAGTACAGTAGGACCACCTTATGTACGGGATCCGTATTCACTTATTCACGGTTGAAAAATATTGATAATAAAAGAAAAGATCCAGAAAAAAAATATTTTCACATGTATTAATAGAACTGGCCAGAAGAGGGGGCCAGAGAGCACACTATGAATACTTGTTAATGAATAATACATAACATGGTCTCTGGCACCCTCTAATGGCCAGGTCTGGTGTGATTGGGTTCTTTGTACTGTAATTCCTTGACAGTTCCAAATCTGGCACGGAAAAATAAAGCACGAGCTCTTGTAAACTGTTAACAGATTTATTTAACTTGTGTTCAGGGGTGTCAACGACAACTTCAGTAGGGTAAACATGATTCAAGTCTAACAACTGTCCTTCAAACATTGTGTGGTCTCCATAATAGGTGTTCCCTCTTACTATTGGGGAGCTGGACAAAAACGCTCTTTGTCTGTAGGATTCCTCATTGAGGCACTCTGGACCGCACAGATTGTGCCACAGTACGGGTGGCGAGCCTAATCCCCCTCCGGAGGTGGCTTGTTGTAGGTAGGGTCGGGACGTACCACCTTCTTCGAGCGACCCCGTCCTCTCAGGAAGACGACCACCATCTATTCCAATATCTCGGTGATCATCACCTCTCCTCCCCCAGGAAGTGGGTGAAGTAGCAGGCCTCCCACTCTGAGATTAGGGAAGTTTTTCAATAATTCACTCACTCACTTGCAGCTCCTTTCATCCTCCTTTTTCTCCCCTGTTGAAATCCAAAACTTCCGCTCTCCTGTCGCCCCTTTTATCTCCTCTTCCCACACAATCTTTAACTCCTCCTTTCCCTTCCACTAGGCAGACTTCTGTTTTAACCCTCTCCTATTTGATTCTCTGTTCCTCCACTTCTTTCTCCCCTTCTTTTCTGATCACAACATTTTTGTTCTCTGGAGGAGATGACGCTCTCCTTTCCATCAACTCTCTTTCACATCTGGTAATGCATTGAATATATTTTTTCTGGGGCTTTTTCCCCTTTACCCTGCAATATATATACATGTATAGAATTCATTATTATCCACTTTTTTAATCTGCAGGAGGCTTGAAAACAATCCCCAGTGGATATGGAGGCCCTACTGTAATTGCAAATAAAAATAATGGTGGCAACTCTCCACCCATCCCCAGAAAACACTTTGTGATCCCCTTGGGGATCTCAACCCCTAGGTTGGGAACCCGTTCACTAGAATATGTAAATATGAAGGCAGTGACAATAAGGGCCATGCCTATGGCTAATATTTTACCTTCCACTATGAAAAGCTACCTCCCTGGAAAAGACTCTGTTGTTGGGGAAGTGTGAAGGCAGGAGGAGAAGGGGACGACAGGATGGGTTGGACAGTGTCATTGAAGTTACCAACATGAATTTGACCCAACCCTGGGAGGCAGTGGAAGACAGGGGGGCTTGACGTGCTCTGGTCCATGGGGTCACTAAGAGTCGGACACAACTTAATGACTAAACAAGAAGAAGAAGAAAAGCTACACAGCTACATCCCGAAGCCTGTCCTTTTGGATTTATGCAGGCCTTGAGACAGTGGCAGTCTTAAGGAAGAGAGGAAGCCACGTATTATCATCAGGATTATAATATGACACATGTAAAAACAGGAGGCACAGCTTCCTGCATGATCCTGCCTGGGATTTGAAATATTTCATTAAGGCCCTCTTGTTTGTCCCACCAGTCTGGGAGGTTTGATTGTTGTCTATAAGAGGCTAGGTTTTCTCTATAGCAGCACTTTGATTGAAAACTTCCTCCCAAGGGAAATCAGATTGGCTATATACTTCCTACGTTTTCAGTAGGTAGTCAGGATTATTCTATGTAGCCTTTGGCTTTTAAAAAATAGGTTTTTAACATTAGCTGTTAAGTGTTTCTAAAGCTTTTTAAATAATGTTTTCTGTTTAATTATGCATCAGTTTGGGGGCCTTGGTAGACAATAAAATCAATAAATATCTCTAATAATAAATAATAGCAGGAGTAAGTGTATCTGTATAGGACACAAAGTAAGAGAAGGTTCTTCTACTGGGCACATTTCATTGGGAATATGCATAGATTGCTTTAAGCAAAGAGAACCTGGAGGGGAAAAAAAGAGTACTCTTAAATCTTTTAAGAGTTGGGGAAACACT